TGTATCATATTCAATTCAGGAGATATCATCAAAACATGCAGCCAGCTTTCCCTTCATATGATAGAAGTGTAAGATTCCTGTTACCTAATGTGACTGAGTTTATCCCAGCAGTAAATGTAGAAGTATAAGAGCCAGGGAATTTTCTAAATATTTGGTTCTCCTTCTCCAATAGAAAGTGCAGATTTCTAAATTGTTGTACTTTTATTCATAGATCTCAAAAGCAATCTTGACAATTTAATGCAGATTTCAAAACTCTACCACTTTTTGCAATCATACAGCCCAGCTCACCACTTGACATGTTTTGTGTGAGTCATGCTAGCTGACAGATTCCCAATTGGACTAAACCATTAACAGCAAAGCCCTCTGGGTTGAACCATTAGAACCAGTTTCAGCTCCCTTGATTGCAACACTGTTCTTTCATTCTACTGAATAAAAACATTGCTGTCATATAAAAAAGAGATGGATGCTTAAAGAGAGGAAAAAGAAAGAAGGAATACAGAGATAGCAAGAGAGACGGAGAACTACACAAACCTCCCTCACACCTCCACACCAGGGCGCCGAGCCAAACACACCTCAAGCCAGTTAAATGCTGCACTGCATTACACAGCAGAGAACAGACGCAGAGTTGACTAATGGACAGAGGGGAGGCCACAAATCCTGACCAACCTCATCGACTGTAACAGAACGCCCTGCTTTCCTCAGAGCAGCTTTTATTGCTCACAGATTGAATTTAGACTTGGCTTTCTACATCTGTGGCTGTCGATTTTATGCCCCAATATCTGTTTTATCTCTGGCTGTTTATGTTCTCTTTGCTCACTTTAAAAGGTCAATTCACCCAAGTTACCTCCTAGTGATATCTAGCCTGCTGTGTTCTCACATCGGCTCCTCTGGAGTACCCGTGTATTTTATACTAGAGGGCACGGATGGAGAAAGTCTGCAGAAACTCCAGAGGCTCTCACTCAGACATTTGCGTTCACACACACATCTGGAGAAAGTCTGGAGGATCCCTGCAGTTCAGTGCATATCTTAAAGCAGTTATAGTGACTACATCTGTAACAGAGCTTCGATGTGATGTTTATGATATTTGGGTGAAACAGAACCAACCAACTAACCAGCTCAGGATTCCCTGTTGAATGCTGACATCCAGTGCCACCTCAATCCAAAGGTTTATTAGAATAATGTGAACTACCAAACCAAAGATCTGAGCAGTAAATCCAAATTAAGCACTTATGACGTAGTCACAGAACCTGAACCGTTGTGCTCTTGCTGTTGTCTTACTCTTGTTTTACCTGTTTTACATATCAAATGCTGAATAATTGTTTCAGCTCAGCCGCAGCAGCTAGTGTGATCAGAGGTCAAGTAAAAAGAATGTGAATCAGCTGTTTCCTAGTTGGTGGACAGTCTCACAGTCATTGTGCCGTTTGACTGGAGCGTAGCTGAGCCAGCATCTGTGCGTGCTTCCCATACTGAGTCACAGCTTTCTTGCGGCTCTGTCTGCTGGGCCGACCTGTTCCCATAAATATGCATGTGTGCAGTAAAATCGCTGATGTGTTTGTGCGCCTCTCTCTTTATCAATGTGTCCGCATCTTATTGTCTACTCCGACCCAACACGCTTTCACAAACTCTCTCACAGGCACAACAAAGCCAGACAGATGAGCTGAGTCAGTCATCAGTCAGTGTTGAGTTGGATAAAAGCACTCACTTCAAACTTTTTCACAGCCCTGTTTTTGGTTCTGCCTCATCATCTCTGAGCATTGAAGTTAAACATACCACATGTTCTGAACGCCTTCAAAAAAGTTCTCTAGTTGCTGCTTTGAATACTTTACCCCTGTCTCATAATACACACATGCACAGTCCTATCTACAGCTGGGTCAGTTCCAGTCATTTTACACATTCCTGCGCATGGAGGTTGTTTTGTGACTGAAACTTGAAGAAGTTTCTTACCCTCTCACCTCCGAATACCTGGCCTCTGCATGGCATTATGGGAGTTCCTTTCGGAGTGTTTGTTTTGAAAGGTCACAGAAATTGTGAGATGCAGTTTCTAGGAAGGTGTGGAGGAGAGGTGCTTTAAGACTCTGGCAAGAAGTTTATTTGAGGCACACTAACAAATTAAGGGCGGCGATTTGGTTGGCAATGTAATTGGGAATGAGTATTTATGGTTTCCAGAGGATGATCCCAAAGTGCACGTCTTAAAAAAATAAATCAATAAATAACATTTTGGAGCCCACTTGTTTTTGTTTTGTTTGAAATGTAATATTTTAGTGATTTGAACAATTCTTTGTTAGAATCTCTCTCTTCTGCTCCCTCTTAACTTTCTCATGTAAAGCTCTTTGTGACTTCTGTTTTGCAAAGTTCTAAATAAATAAAGTTTGCTCACTTTTGACGAGCACCAATATCAGGTCAACATTTACCTTCAGAGACAGTTTGCTATCATACATTTGATATGGTATATTGGGAACCTGAATCCTTCACATAGCCCTGCCTGTAGGGGTCCCTTTTAAACTATTTAAAGAATAACACATTCTCACTCCCAACTCAATAAACACATTCATAGGCTAATATGGAACAAAAAGAGACCTCAGGCTCAATTTAAATGATGTAAAGCACATGGCACAACGGTGTTCAGGGTATGTTCAAATCCACTTAACTACTTTAGCAGCAACACAGAAGGTGGCTGCACCAGGGGCACATGCTTTGTACTTGGGTCTCCTATGGCACTCAGGAGGGCACGTATCTCTTCCAAGGCCCACCAGTCGTTTTAAATTCAATCGAGCTGCACTTTTCTTGAGGAAAATCGCCAACATGTTGAAAAGCACCCTATCTTGCAACGTTAAAGTGGGAAAAAAAGAACATCCTGGATCCGGTTCCACACTAAAATGTAGTGGGTTCTTCCCTGACCCATACTGCATGTAGTATTTGCCTAATCTTGCTTACAAACAAAGAGACAATGCAATGCTTTCACCCACCATTTTCATGTGTGCTATCACTTGGGTTAGTGGTGGGTTGCTAATATCAGGGTCAATTTTTCAGGAAGTTATAGAGAACACTTCTCTGTTTCACTCATGTGAGCAGAGCCTCTGTGTGTGTGTGTGTGTGTGTGTGTGTGTGCACGAGTGTACACGTCTTGCGCACTTGCCTATTAGCAAATATGCACTAACAAATGCACCTGAGCGCCCCTCATTGTAAGATCAACAAACCCATGGGTGCAAGTGCATTATTTAAACAATGTGGACAGGGAAATGAGAACTGTGTCTGAAGCTGTCAGAGACACTTGTGTTGCCTCACTTTTTTGCCTTGGTGTAAGATAGTGAGTAAAATACTCAACCCTGCAGCGGCCAAAGAAGTGGGGAGGTATGACATCATTGAAACTGCTCGGTTAGGATCAGCAGTAACTTTAGTGGAATTCAACTTTTGAAGCTAAATGGAAACACATTCGATTTTGCTGGCTGCTTACACCATAACCAGAAATATTTCAGTTACAGAAGCTGACACATTAGGTTCTCTCTTTCTCTACCTTCTGTCTGATTGTGAAATGTATTGATAGAAAGCAAGACCTCATGTGCTATGCTCCATATGTTGGCATCGTCATTGCTGTTGATCCTGTTTAAAACAAAGGAAATTGGAATTCTGGCTGGAATCCCAAAAAATGTCTGTAGACAGCTGTGATCCCCAGAGGTTTGGCCTTATGGTTTTTTTTGTAACCCCCCCTTTGCTTCAGCGTGACCAACAGCACAACATACTCATTTCTATCAAAGGCAGTGAAATGTTTATATTCCTCAGTGGAGCATTTTGACAGCATTGCACACATGATATGACATCATCTGAGAGCCAGATTGTGATAAAAAAATATGTTTGCACACTGAAGCTTCTCAGATGTGGACAGGGAAAAGCTTCTCTTTTGTTTCCAAATACTTTTCTTCTACTACTGGAAATGCTTTAATAATAAAACAATGAGAAGTATCATATTCTAAAGAATTATTTTTACTCTTGAATCAGTTTCGTTATGTATTGGCCTGATGCACCATCCTCCTTGTGTTCAGTTCAGCTCAGTGGATTGCTGGTGCTGACCCTCGGAGGAAGTGTTGCTGTGTGTGCATGCTCCTTTTTAACCGTCCACCAGTAAGACACACTGAAACCTGCTAAGCTACTGGGACAGGAACTGCTTACATACCTTTGTCAAACAGTAGCTTTCCAGGGAGAGGACAGCGTTAAACATGTACCACCCCTTCCACTTCTTTCACTTACTTTTCATCCCAGCTCCTTGTGATCATTGGCCCCCAGGGGCACATAGACGTTACCATCTGACAGTGGTTTAACTGACAACCAACAAACAGCCAGGTGTTTTCATGGTGGGGATTCAGGTTTTTAGTCCTGGGAAAGGGTTGCCTAGAAGAATAAATCCCCCCTCAGGATGTGTGAGCAGTGTGTGTGTCAATAAACTGCTTGCTTTTCTTTTTGGCATCCATGTTATCTGCTTAGAGTGTCCACACTACACTGTGTGACCTACCTGTCTCAGGAACTTCTCCTGCGTGTGAGCTGCGCTGCTCTTCTTGAGAGTCGGGGTCATCGCCTATTTTCTGCGCATACTGCAGGCGGTTCACAGTAAAAGCTCTCTGGTGTTTTTATCAACAGAATCTGTTCATTTGTTTTCACAAGATTTTCATTCTATACATATTTATTATAGACTGTCCTGTCCCGGCATTTAGTTGAGTACATAGGACCAATTATTCGAGGAAATACACCAGAAACCGTGTGTAGCAGCCAAGGCATCAGTCCTGTCTTTTCTTCCCGCTGTGAACTTGCCCTTGACTCCCTGTTTGTCCCTTTGTTACTGCTTGGTGACAAACAATAGACTATTGTGCTCCAGTTGTATATGTGTGAGGCATTTTTATTAAGGGAAAGATAAAAAATAATCCAAAGGGTCAACTGTGGCTTTTTTCCTTTTGTAACAGCTTCCACAGCAGTTCTGGTTCTGACCCCTCTCTGTGTTTCCCCTGCAGGAGGAGTACAGGTCAGAGGGCATCACCTGGCACAACATCGACTACATCGATAACAGTGGCTGCATCAATCTCATCAGCAAGAAACCGACAGCTCTGTTCCACCTGCTGGATGAGGAGTGCAAGTACGCAATCTACTGCAGCTGATGCTTTAAGAAGCAGCAGTTTGCCACACACACTAACTCTGAATGGGAGTTGTATGGGATTTTCATTAGGATTTTATACAATGATTACACATTTGGGAGTTATATATATATATATAATGATATTTTAATTAAATCACAACTGAATTCTCTTAATATTGCGACTTTCTTCTCAATAACGACTCTCAAGAATTATTTTTTATTATTATGGCTTTAATCACTCGTAGTTGTGGCGGAGCCTACTACTGTGCTGAGGGTAAATCCATCGTAAGACGAATCACTGTCCTGGTTACTTAAACAGTATTCATAAATCAAATGAAATCATAACAATCAGATTAAAGATCAGATCAGCCACATGGTTTGCCGAGGGAAGGTTGTGTTTGCATCAGATCACATCCTAAGATACCTGATTAATTGGATTTGTAAACTTCAACTTGAAACCAACTTGAATCTTGAGTGTTGCAATGTTTTTATGACTATACTAAAAACACAGTTTTCAATTATGCCTGACATTTTACCGTAAGAAAAACCTTTTTCATTGTAGCAAACTTTGTTTCAATGACCTTTTAATCACTGATGCACAAACAGCATTTTTATACCTAACTGGTGAATCCAAGAGACAAACTGCTCCCTCTGCATTCCTTTTGATTATTAGTATGGTTGATACCAATGCTGGGATTCCTACCAGGACTAAACTTAACATAAAGACCATGCCGATTCCTCCACCAGCATCTCTGGAACCTGTTAAAATTATTTTTCTCCCCTCTCTATCTATTGTGAAACGCTCTCCTCCTGCAGGTCAGCACTCTGCCTCTATGTCTCTCTCTATGTCTCCATAAATCAATTCCAGTGCTCTCCCACTCCCCTTGCGTAAAAACATCAAGCAGTACACACGCAGCCATATTTATCTGCGTTAGCTGTCATCATACTTGCCACTTAGCATAACTGGTTCATCTGGATCTAATAACGCCTGGAATGGAAGAAATGGTGTGTGTAGAGTATATGCTGTGTGTGTGTAGGAGGAAAACCACTTTTTTAGAATAAGGATCAAAGGAGATCTCTAAAGAAAAAAAATGAGAGGGAGCAGGAACTCTCTTGGGGTTTATGCTGCCACAGGAAGGATCTTCATACTAAACGATGACACAAGAAAAGATGCTTAGAGATCTCATCCTTCACTGTTAGCGGAGCTCACCGAGCTCCAGGGCCTCTGGAGAAGTGGATTAAGTTACTGCAGGATAGGGGGCGAGTGTGGGGGGTTCATTTGTACAGTACCAAGCTATGACCCCCCCTGTGGATACACTTGAGGCAGAAATGTGTTTCAGTGGTTGTAGAGAGGAGAGGTTTAGATGACATGAAACAGGCACTTTGGAATGTTCCAGACAACCGAGGTCAACGGTGAAGAGGTGAAATAACCATGCAGCAAAGGTGGAAACAACAAAACCAATGTGAAAGTAGAGGCACTGTAAATCTAAGTTGTAACACTAAATCTAAACAAGGATTTGGGAAACGGAGCTGGAGAATTGGACCTGTAGCCTTTTCTTAAATTCACACAAGGTGCTCCTAATAAATGCAGGTCATCAGAAAATCTCAGTAACATTAGAGACAACTCTCCCATTTTAAATCATTCTTGGGGAGACACTGTGTCCTTCTTGTTGCAAGTAGGTGGCACTATGACAGAATTAAATAAAATTAGTAATTTGAAATGATTACTACAAATACTACTACTACAAATAATAAAAACAAATAAAAGAGTAAAAATTCTGAACATGTGAACATGTTAAATTTAAGCATGAGCACCCATTGCCAACCAATATATATAAAAATAATATAAATATATAAAAACACAAAAATAACACCAAAGCAATCTTACCAGAGCTGAAATTCACAGATTTTCTTTCAGCGCTTTCTTGAAGGACTCTTTTCTGTTATTAATTAATCTGTTATTAACACAATCAAGGCAGAAAAACCTCTTCACAGAACAGTTTGCTTCATTAGTTTACCAGCTTTACCAGCTACCAGTACTGACTTGATTTGTCACATGTCAACAAGAACCTCTTCATTTTAGTTTTTCTCTGCCATATATATGTTCTATACAACAGTTTGCATAAATATCTAAAGACTTGACTTTAATTTATCGTTTACTGTTGGTGTGTTCAAGATACATTGTTGAATCTCTCTGATGTCATTTTGATTCTTTGTGGTTTGAACCTGAAACTGAAAAAATCTCTGTTGGTCTAGTTTCCCTCAGGCTTCCAATCAGACCTTGCTGGACAAGTTCAAGCGTCAGCATGAAGGAAACAGCTACATCGAGTTCCCTGCTGTCATGGAGCCTGCCTTCATCATCAGACACTACGCTGGTAAAGTCAAGTATGGAGTCAAGGTGAGACCCAAGTTCTGGTGAGAATGTCCATCGGTTAAATGTGTTTGATGCATTTACAGATTTACCAATGATACTGTAAACAGCCGCAAGGGGGACACTTTGGTGGACATCCTGTTTCTATAAAGAGACATTTATTAATGTGTAAACACAACTGAAACCAGAACTCTTTCATTTACCCCTAGTGATGCGACAAAAAAATCAGTTCTAACCCAGCAGGTTCAGGCACTGGTACTTGGACCCTGCAGCAGACCTACCTGTTGTTCTGTCGACCTATTTTTCCAGCCAAATCTAATTCTCTGTCGTCGTCTCCCCCTGAGCTGCGTTTTGATAAGAAGCACATGTGCTGGGAGGGCCGAGCATATTGTTGTTTGACTCTATAATATAAATCTGTAACAGTCAGTCGTTGTGGATGTGGAGAGGCACTGTATCCCGCATCGACTGAGAGCCAAGGAGTTGTTTGGTGTGAAAAGTGTAGCGAGAAGCGCAGTCGTGAAATGTGTTTGTGAAATCTGCACACAGCTGACTGGCATCACATGGAGAGAGAATATGTTCTAGGGTTTATAGTTTGTTATCATAGCACAGCATTGGTCAGAAGATCCAGTTACTGGGGCAGAAGAAGAGGTGATGGTTTCTGCAGTCACATGTGTGGGAGAGAAACATTTCTTCATATTTAATGTAAAGAAGTGAAAGACTCGTCTCTTGTGCCAAACATAGATATTAAAGGAACAGTTCAACATTTGTTTTCTTGCTCGATAATATTACTGACATTGATGACTGTAAGTGATGAGCTACAAAGTGCCAGTTGCCTGTTTATTCATATTGTATTAAAACTGAAGGAATTGCGTATCCAAATCCCACCTAATTCACTGCACTTTATTAGGCCGTAACTATACATGCCAGAGATATGTGAGCCGCAGTGAAAAGACACATGCCAAGTGCAAAGCTGATAAGATGAACGGGTCTTGAGATGTGCGTTTCACATACAGATGGAAGATTTCTGAGTCAGTGGATAAATTGATGTGATCCACTCTCCTGCTGTATAAATAATGTGGACATAGAACCAGCAGCTGGTTATCTTGGCATAGCATAAAGTCAGTAAACAGGGAAACTGTCCAGCCTTATACCAGCTCCACTAAAGCTCACTAACCATTTGTTTCATTGATACAAAAACCAACAGTAAAATTAAAAGTCGTGGTTTTACAGGGGTCACCTCTCTGATGAAGGAGGTCTGGATCCTGCTTCTGCTTCTTTCTTTTTGCATGTTGCATTTCTCCAACAGTCAGCACAGACACACTCAGGAAACATGGATGTTGAGTCGAAGGGTTATGCCCTCGTCCAACCATTTGTGTAACTTCCTGATGATCCGACATTTACTTCCATCTGTGATTGGTCATCGTGGAGGAGAGAGAGCGATCGGATCGTTTACCCTCTTCCTCTTTTGCTCTGTTTGTTGTTTGTAGCTTTCCGTGTCACTTTTCACATTAGCAACCAATTGCAGAACTATGAATGATAGGGCTGTGGTGTTTACACAACACTGAGAAAAAAAAGAGAAGAAGCTCCTTTTCAAAATGTCAACTATTCCTTTAACTGTGGAGTAACAGCAGTTAAATGTTCGCCTGTAAATAGTTGTAATATTTGTAAAATCTGCTGCCAACTGGCTTTCCACTGTTTAATTCACAATAAAAGGCTCAGCACCAACAGTAACTTCTGTTTTTGCTGATTTGAGTGGATGACTGTCCGTCTGTGGATGATTTTTCTGTCTATGATGTTGTGATACACACACTATATCAATGAGAGCCTGAGGATGCAGAAACATCTTAACTTCATTATGATGATACAAACTTTACGGGATGCACGTGTCTCTCGTTCACTCAGGACTTCAGGGAGAAGAACACCGACCACATGCGACCCGATGTAGTGGCCTTGCTGAAGAGTAGCAAGAACGCCTTCATCTGTGGCCTGATGGGAATCGACCCTGTGGCGACTTTCCGCTGGGCCGTGTTGCGAGCTTACTTCAGAGCCCTGGTGGCTTTCAGGGAGGCCGGCCGCAAACACACCGACAAAAAAACTGGTGAGCAAAGGTCGATAAATCCAGAATGTGACAGCAGCCTACAGGAAAAATCCACAGTCAACTACAGATACTATAGTAACTCTAGTTAAACACTATTACCTGTCAAAGTTCATGCAGTGTCATTTATTTAGCATGAAACATATTTTTGTATTGTAATTATAATTATACTACAGCTTTGTGTCACATTATCTGCTTAAACAATTAGTCCATTAATTAGTTAGTAAGTAAAAAGGCTCAACAACTGGTTATCTAGACTTTTTCTTCTATGTTTTATATCATTGTTGGTGGAATATCTTTGTATTTTTCAATAAAAACACATTTTATTTGAGGACACTCCTTTTCGCTCAAGAAAATTGCAAAGGCACCTTTCTTTTTCTTTTTACATTTTTAGAAATTCAACAGCCAATTTATCCCTCAAAAAAGGTCTATAATTCCTGAGCTGTGGCCCTAATTACTGTTAAATTATTTTAAACCCAAAATAAACTCATTAGTCCTCCTGTATTTTGTTAGAAATATGAATGGCTTGTTTTTTTTTTTATCTTGTTTTGTCCCATCAAATGCTCTAGTGGGACCGTTTCCCAATAGACGATCTGAACCACTAAACACCCTCTTGCTGTAAACTAACTGAGCTACAATTCATTACTGTAGAGAAAGCTACGCTCTGTACTGTGAGGTCCAAATTCCTGTTTTAATGGGGCCAAGAACAACAGGGTGTGTTTACAGAGGTGAGGAGATGTGCTTCTGCTGTTAATGATGATGATGATGGGGAGGAGGAGGAGGGGGTTTCATCTTCTTCTCCTGTGTTTATTTACATTAACTGAAGAACGTTGCACTGCAGTGTTTGAAAACGTCACCACTGACTTATCTCAGAGGGTTTTGTGTCTTTTCTTTAACCCCTTTTTTAATGTTTATGGAATTTAAATCTTTTAATTTGTTCTGCAAGAAAATGCAGATGCTTCATTTCAAACATTAAGTCTCCTTGTCTCTTTCTTTCTCTCTCTCTCTCTCTCTCTCTCTCTCTCTCTGTCTTTCTCTGTCCCTCTCTCATTGTTTTAGCAAACGATGCAGCAGTTCCCTGTACTGTTGTCAAAACTGTCGACAGCTTCAGTTTCCTCCACCACCCGGTTCACCAGAGGAGCCTTGAGATCCTTCAAAGATGCAAAGATGAGAAATACAGTAAGTTCTTCCAAAAAACACAAGCCCCTCTGCCCCATGTTGTGCACGAATAGTAAAACTGATTGTTATTTGGACTTTTTATGGCCTCATGTATCTTGGTAGGAAATTGTTTTCACCTTCTAGTTAAGACGGTCCACTCAAGGTGAAAGCACCTCATAATATGTTTCTGCAAACAGGAGGTGGATGACACAACTAAGAGAAAAGCAAAACGTGCTTCTGTTCAGTCACAACCCTTCAAAGTATCGACACATAGTGAAACCACTTTGAATTAGCAGGGATAAATACATCACATACAATTATATACAATACATTTAAATACATTTAAAATAGATAAAACATTGCAATTTTTTTAACCTGTCCTTCAGCCTGATTAGTTTCTTTTTCAAAATTTTGTGAGTGTGTGTTTTATTTGAAATGATCACAGTATGTTTTTGGGATAAAGAAAGCTAAGTATTAAATCCGCCTCAATTTGAATCTGAATTGTGACTTTCCTTTTTATTTGCTGGGAGAAACGAATACTTTCCCAATATTAGATCTCTTCTGATTTTCAGCCTCAGTGAGCTGCATTTATTACAGCTGTTAATAGGACATTAGTAATCAGACATCTTGGTCTCTCTGCGTGCTGCTCAGACTGAGTCACTGAGAAGCAAAGCTTATCAGCAGACTTATCAGCACGGACGAGTGATCAGACAAATGAATCAGCCCAATGTGGACCAGCAGTGTTTAATGAAACCCCTGGAATCTCTCCATTTTATGCTCATCCTTGATCATGTGTTACTGATAACCATGTGTTTGTGTGCTTGAGTTTGTCATCATGTGCCTACACGTCCGAGTTCATGCATACAAGTTGTGCGTCATTGTGTTTGCAAAACAGCCGTTTGCTTTCACGCACATAACTCCACTGAACAGCTGTCGCCATTGAAACTGATTTTCAAGGAAATTCTCTGGAGATTTTCCTGTGTTAAAGGGAGACTCCACTGATTTCACACACTGGCATCAGTGTTGTAGTCATGGCTAGTACCACTCAGCCTGTTAAAACAGCTGTATGATGTGTTCTGTGGCTCTGGAGGAGCAGTTCTGAGATGCAAATGGGAATTCTTATAAACTGATGGCATGGGGCTGGAAAGATGCGGGCATTCACCAGACTTTCTAACTAAAAGACACCCAGTTATTATTATTATAGGGACTACGCTTTGGTATATAACCTCCCACATCAATTTCAGTCATCCAGGGTTTTTTCTTTTCAACATTATGGATATGTAGCCCTGCACTGATTAATCCCTCAGTCAGTAGACAAAGCAACAATCACAACTTGCCCAGTTAGATCAATACATTGGATTGGTTTAAAAAAGTACAGTTGTAGTTTTTGGAATTATTTTCTGCGAAAAGTATGATGAGGAGATTAACACCACCAGAGTAGCTGCTCCCAGCCAAGACATAGTCTGGCACATATCCCCTCATAAAACAGCACACTATCATTTTTACATCATTAACTGTTTTAATCCAACAAGAAAAAGGTATAGTTTTCAGTGTGAGTTAGAGGTGGTGGTATGTATGGGTTGTTATTTTTATAGTCTTCCAGTTTAAGCTGTTGCTTTCACAGGGTGGTATTAGTCAGCTCTTAACATAGAAGTAAATAAGTGTGATTAGAAATGTAATTCTGTGACTGTGCGTGTGTGTGTGTGTGTGTGTG